TATATGTTCATGATTGTAATATCTTCTTGGTTTATTGTTCCTTTGATCAGAATGAAGTGGCCCTCTTTATCTCTTCTGTTTAGTTTTAAAGTCTTTTTTATGAGATATTATAATTGCAACACCTGCTTTTTTCTTAGCACCATTCACTTGGTATAATGTTTTCCATCCTTTCACCTTAAGATAGTGCCTGTCCTTGAAAGTGAGATGAGTTTCTTGCAGACAACAAAAAGATGGGTTTTGTCTCTTAATCCATTCACCTAGTCTGTGTCTTTTGACTGGGGAGTTCAGTCCATTAATATTTAAAGTTATTAATGAAAGATGTGTATTGAATCCTGACATTTTTATTTCTGTTCACATTCTTGATATAGCTGTGCGTTTCCACAGTTATACCTTCACTGAATTTCTTTCTGTAACCCCTTGGGTATAGCCCTTCCTTTCTTTAGCGCTTTGTATTGCTTCAAGAACTCTCTGAAGGGTGGGTTTTGTGAGCATGAATTCTTTCAGCTTATTTATGTCATGGAAGGTTTTTCTTTCCTCTTCGACTATAAGAGACATTTTGACTGGGCAAAGTAATCTGAGTTGGCATCTGTGGTCATTTAGAACTGGAAATACTTTGGTCCAGGCTCTTCTGGCTTTCATAGTTTGCACTAAAAAGTCAGCTGTAATTCTGATGGGTTTTCCTTTATATGTGACTTGTTGTTTTTCTTTTGCACCTTTTAGTGTTCTCTCTTTGTTCTGTAGGTTTAATGTTTTTACTATGATGTGCTGGTGAGAGTTTCTTTTCTGGTCCTGTCTATTTGGTGTTCTATATGCTTCTTGTATTTGTATAGGCATGTCTTTCTTTAATTTTGGAAAATTTTCTTCTACAATCCTGTTGACGATCTGGTCCATACCATTATCCTGAGATTCTTCTTCCTATATGCCTATGATTCAGAAGTTTGGTCTTTTTATGGTATCACACAATTCCTGAATATTCCATTTCTGCGTTTTCTTAAATTTTTCATAATCTTTGCTTGAGTGGCCTAATTCATCCACTTTATCTTCCAGTGTTGATATTCTGTTTTCTATTTCATTCATCGTATTGGTAAGTTTTTCTTCTGTCATTTCTAATTGGCTTACTGAGTGTTTTACTTCCTTCTTAATTTCAGCCTGAGTATTTTTCAATATTTCCTTTTCTGAATTCATTCAGAAGTTTATTCCTATCTTCTTTCAGTTTTTTTGTGTGTTCTTTAAATTCATTGAATTCTTTTATCATGTTTATAATTGTTCTTTTGAGTTCCATGTCCTGTGTTATCTCTAGGGGGTTCTCATTGTGCTCCTCTAGAGGACTGTTGGTACTTGGTGGGGATATATTATTTTGGTTTTTCGTGTTGTTATTTTTTCTCTGTGACTTTGACATGTGGATTTCTTTTGTAGTTTCTAATTCTTGTGTGAGACTCAAGCCTTCCTTTGTTGAGTTTTGGTCTGCTTCTTTTCGTAAACTTTGTCTGCCTTTGTGGTTTACTTGTTGGGCATGAAGAACTGGTTAGTCTAGGCTTCAGGTCCTCTCATTTGATTTTATATTGGAGTGGCCAAATTGCTTTCATCTTGCTGCTCAGGAGTTCCCACAGAGGCCCAAGTCAGATGAAGATCAGATGCTCTCACGTGTTCTCCTAAGGTCTGGATCCCTCCAGGGAAGATGCTGGCCTCAGGAATTTGAGGGCTGGACAGGCCTTGCAGCAGTGCCCAGGAAAGATGTTGGCCCCAGGAAGCTGGTGGCTGTGCCACCCAGGAATGCAAAGGGAGGTGGGGATGAGAAGAGGCCCGAGGGCTTCTGGGGACTGCAGGGAGGAATTGGGTTGGTCTGGATGCAAAAGATCAAGCAGCAGTGGTGACTCTGGGATAAGAGGTCAGCCCACTGGTCTGGGGTGCCATGAAAAGAAATGGGCTAGTACCCAGACTAGGAGAGATGTGGTGGGGGAGGGTGAATGAAGCTGGGGACAGTGGGAATAGCCAAACTTACCCAGGAAAGCTGCTGGCTCCAGGAAGCTGTGGGCTGGGCCACCCAGAGATGCAAAGGGAGGTGGGGACTAGAGAGGGGGAATTGGGGTGGTCTGGATGTAAAGGATCAGGAAGCAGTGGGGAGTTTGGGCCAAGAGGTCAGTCCGGAGGTCTGCAGTGCCAAGACAGGAAATGTGCCAGTGCCCCTGCTAGGAGGAGAGATGGGATGGGGGAGCTTGGAGGGTGGCTGAGGCTGGGGGAGTCAGGACGCAGTGGGTGCAGCAGCCAAACTTAACCAAAGCTGCTTGCGCCAGGAAGCTGTGGGGCTGGTTGCCCAGAGATGCAAAGGGAGGTAGGGACTAGAAATTTTTCAATTTTTATGCAATATAATTTTATGGAGTTTAGATACCCTCTCCTATCTATGGGATGGGGGAGCTTGGAGGGTGGCTGAGGCTGGGGGAGTCAGGACGCAGTGGGTGCAGCAGCCAAACTTAACCAAAGCTGCTTGCGCCAGGAAGCTGTGGGGCTGGTTGCCCAGAGATGCAAAGGGAGGTAGGGACTAGAAATTTTTCAATTTTTATGCAATATAATTTTATGGAGTTTAGATACCCTCTCCTATCTACACCTCCCCTTACTGGCCCTCACC